CCCTGATTTTCTTTTTTTTTCTGTGACAATGATTCTCCCCCCCCCCTGTGACAATCTGGGCTACAAACTGAGCGGCACAGGTTACCTTGGTTGCCCAGGCGCGCCGGGCAGACAAGGGCAAGAAAAGGTCACTGCAAAAAAAAAAAAAAAAATTGCCAGGCTACCACTACCAGAGTGGCAGGGTACCACGTGCCCGGCCGGGCCAAAAACAAAGAATATATATATATCATGGCTACCGCGGACCCGGACCCCCGGTTGGTCCGGTATCGATCCGGACGTCCGCATTTCCGGACCAATCCGGACCAATCCGGACCAATCCGGACCATCCATGTCCGGATTGGTCTAGATGGTCTGGATGGTCCTGTCCGGATCGGTCCGGATTGGAAAAAAAACAAAAAAAAAGGTGAGGGGGTTGCATGTTGCAAACACATCCGTCCCCCTTCATTCGAGTCCTCCCTCTCCCCCTTCAGTCCGAGCCTCCCTCCCCCTTCTCCCTCCCCCTGCTTCCAAACCTTCCTCATATTTCTTCCAAATCTCCCTCCCCCTTCTTCTGAACTTTGGAAGGAAAAGGTAAGTTCGCAAACGAAGGAAAGTATGCGAATAAAACATCATGAATGAATAAAAAGAACCCCGATTCTGTATGCTCATAGAGTCTTCATGCAATGAAAAGCAATGAAGAAGATTCATAACCAACACTGCAGGGGAAGGAGTTGCAAAAGAAGGGGGAGGGAGCTTTAGAACGAAGGGGGAGGGAGGTTTCGTATGAAGGGCAAGGGAGGTTTGGAATAGGGGAGGGATTCCGATTGGGTTCCGAGTTCGAAATGAAAACCATCCGAAAGATCGTGAAAGAACAAGAAGAACCACGATTCTCTCTGCTCATAGGATTGTAATGTCATGAAACACAATGACGAACATTCAAAACGAACTGTGAGGGGGAAAGGGCAGGGGCATGAAGGCGAAGGGAGGTTTAGAACGAAGGGGGAGGGAGGCTTGGAACGAAGGGGGAGGGCGGCTTAGAATAGGGGAGGTATTCCGATAGGATAACCTCCCCTATTCTGAACCTTCCTCCCTTTTTCGTTTAAAACCTCCCTCTCCCTTTGTTCCAAACCTCCCTCCCCCTTCTGCCCCCTACTTCCATCCCCTTTCATTAGAAACGCCCCTCCCCCTTCGTCCGAGCCTCCCTCCCCCTTCTTCCCCGTACGTCCCAACCTCCGAGATATCATCTGAACCTACCTTTTCGCCCCGAACCCCGCTCCTCCTCGTTGCATGAACGTAACGAATCTGTCCAATGTATAGCATAGGATTCAGTCTCATTACCAAACTAGCACAGGAAATCACATAAGCGAAAGGCAAGCACGGAACGAAAAGAGAGAGAGAGAGAGAGAGAGAGAGA